TGTGTTGCAGTCCCGGTAGCCCAGTTCAGTCCATCCCCACCCCTTGCTGTAACCGGTGACATGCGGTATGTGTATGTGTGTGTGTTGCAGTCCCGGTAACCCAGTTCAGTCCATCCCTACCCCTTGGTGTAACCGATGATATGCGGTATGTGTAAGTGTGTGTATTGCAATTCCGGTAGCCCAGTTTAAGTCCTTCCTCACCCTAGCTGTAGCCGGTAACATGTGGTATGAGTATGTGTGAGTGTTGCGGTTCCGATGGCACGGATCAGTTCTTCCTCCTTTTTTACGTGACCGGTGCCTTCCAAAAGTAGTATGTGGTGACCGGGCGCCCGGGTAGGAAAGGGGGCACGGGACTGATAATTAGATTGCGTCCGTCGAGCTTTCACCATCGCCACCGCTCCTCCAACTTCGACCATCCCAACCCTTCTTCCACCTCTATCACCTACACCCGTCCACCATAGCCGGCCACCCCAACCCTTCTTCCACCTCCGTCACCTACACCCGTCCACCATAGCCGGCCACCCCAACCCTTCTTCCACCTCCGTCACCCACACCCGTCCACCATAGCCGGCCACCCCAACCCTTCTTCCACCTCCATCACCTACACCCATCCACCATAGCCGACCATCCCAACCCTTCTTCCACCTCCATCACCTACACCCGTCCACCATAGTCGCCCACCCCAACCCTTCTTCCACCCCCATCACCTACACCCATCCACCATAGCCGACCACCCCAACCCTTCTCCTACCTCCATCACCTACACCCATCCACCATAGCTGGCCACCCCAACCCTTCTTCTACCTCCGTCACCTACACCCTTCCACCATAGCCGGCCACCCCAACCCTTCTTCCACCTCCATCACCTACACCCATCCACCATAGCCAACCACCCGAACCCTTCGTCCACCTCCATCACTTACAGCCGTCCACCATAGCCGGCCACCCCGACCCTTCTTCTACCTCCATCACCTACACCCATCCACCATAGCCGGTCACCCCAACCCTTCTTCCACCTCCATCGCCTACACCCATTCACCATAGCCGGCCACCCTAACCCTTCTTCCACCTCCATCACCTACACCCATCCACCATAGCCGGCCACCCCAACCCTTCTTCCACCTCCATCACCTACACCCATCCACCATAGCCGACCACCCCAACCCTTCTTCCACCTCCATCACCTACACCCATCCACCATAGCCGGCCACCCCGACCCTTCTTCTACCTCCATCACCTACACCCATCCACCATAGCCGACCACCCCGACCCTTCTTCTACCTCCATCACCTACACCCATCCACCATAGCCGACCACCCGAACCCTTCTTCCACCTCCATCACCTACACCCGTCCACTCGAGAGTCATAGGAGGCGCAAAGGAGCACATGGAGTCCGGGTAGGGTCGGTTAAGGTGGGCCAAGGGTCAAGGGCGATTAGGATGTGGAGCCTCTCGTGCCCGCTCTCGCGCTTCCCTTCTTCTTCCCTTCTTCTCCTTCTCCTCTCTCTCCCTCTCTCTCTCCCACTCTCTCTCTCTCTCTTTCTCTCTCTCCCCCTCGCCTCCTCTCTCCCTTCTCTCTCTTTCTCCCAAGGTCCTTGAACCTTAACTCTCACCTCGTCCCTTCCCGTCCATGGCACGTAACTAACCTCTATCCTCACCTGTTACATTGCCAGGGGACGAACGGTAACGAACCTTGATCCTCACTTGGTGGAAAGCGAGGGCGAGGGGAGGACAGCCGGTCCCTTGTGCCACCAAGAAGGAAAGGCGCCGGACTGTTGTGGACATTGGAGAAAGCGGAAAGGAGTGTTGTTTTTGTAACAAGGTCAGTTGGACTCAACTATCCTCCCCGACTGCTTGACTAAGGTGAAGGCATGGTTTTGCTTGAAGGAAGGGGAAAGACAACCTAAGGAACATCGAGGGCAAAATAATCTTAGGCTTGTGGGAAGGGGCGATGTGTTGACCCCAATGGGGATTGTACTTGGGCCTCTCGTCTTGTGTGGTCTTGTGCAGGTGAGTGGGCAGGGCGATCTGATCGGGGTTGGATCCGCAAACGAGGGCGAGGGTGGGAAATTGGATAAGGGAAGGACTTAGACCTCGCCTAAACTATGAATGCAGGATGGGTTTGACGGTTGGATGCCTGGATGAATGGTAGATGCCCGGATGCGGTTTGCATGGTGATTGAATGCAATGACTCTCTTGAATGCAGTGTACGCCCGGAAGGACTAAGGGCGGTCTTGGATTGGTGAATGCGATACTGGTGACTCAAGCAAAAAAAAATATATCGGCTAGGGGTCCGGGCGGTGCCACTCCACCCCAAGGATGCCGCAGGGGCGGTCTTGAGTCGCTAGGCTTATCGAAAAGGTGTGTGGTCCAATGGATGACGCTTGGCCTACACGCGAAGTGAAGATAAACTCTCAACGAATTCCCTGGACTGCCTGCATATTGGAAGGAGCAATTGCCTAGTTGGACGAAAAAGAATCAAGCAGACGCCACGAGTGCCTAAACAGCTACCATCGAGAGCAGAGCTACATCCCCCAATGTAAAGCCCTCTCGCAAAAGGCCCATCCCCATCCATCTCAAAGCACTAGGTGGGGGTGCCCATGGGACGAATGACCCACGCCCTGAGCATGAGCGTGGGCGGATCGAGCCAACTGGGACCCGCAGCGGGGTCGACTTAGGCTCGAAAGTCCTTCAGGGTACGACCCCTACAAAAATGGTGGAGGTGCCGGGTATTGGGTTAAACTGACCCATACGGTCTCGAGGGGGGGCGCCCGAGGCATGACCGTGAACATAAACATGAAGATAAGGAATATGGATTTGTGTATGCGCTATCCCTTGAGTGAATCAGATTTGAGGGTGGCTGGGCGCATGGCAAGGCCAGGGCTGGAGGAATAACATGCATGCTCGCACGCTTGATCAGCCATCTCCCTTGGAGGTGACTCTAGTCCTCCTTCCTTCGGGCTGATGTTCGTCAGACCGGGGAAGCCTTGGGCAAGCCGCAGGTCGACCCTTCCTCTTCGTGTGAAAGAAGGGCTCCGGTTACCTGGCAGGTGATTGGGATTCTGGGCTAGTCCGGGTTCCGATGAAAATCCCGCGGCGGAGTGATCCGACCGACACGGGTGCTCTCTTTCCTTTTCTCCGGAGCCCAGCAGGCTCCATGCACCACACTTAATGCTTGAAGGAACCTCATATGAACACAANTCCGGAGCCCAGCAGGCTCCATGCACCACACTTAATGCTTGAAGGAACCTCATATGAACACAAAGGGTAATCGAGAAGGAACAATCCTGCCCTATGAACGGACACACAAGCGAAGATAAGGGAATGAAGAGAGTTGCTAGACTCCGAGGAAAACTAGCTCACCTTTGAAGATGCTCACGAGAAGGAACCGGACACTATGTATGGAAGTTAGGGGTGAGTGGCACGCACTGTCCCGAGAGAAAAATTGTGAGCTATGGGTAGGAAGCGTTGGGTGCACCAGGGGAAAGGTACTTGTGTTGTGTGTGTCCCACTTGGGACTTGTGATTGCATGATTGGGATTTCGAGCGTTCTGCCATTTGGAAGGAAAGGGGGGGTCTGCACCGGCCACTGCGGGTTGCCAACCATCGTTCTCTTTGCAGACTGCCGTTTGTTCGTATGCGGGGGTCAGGCCACCGGGCTGTCTAACGAGAGTTTGTCACGTCGAGTGCTTATTAGCATTCTCGACCGCGCGGTGACGGGCTTCGGCTCGATTGATCTACCGGGCGGGGTGTGAAACGTTCCTCAGGCGGGGCCTAGCCTGTGGACTGGCGGAGGGAGCATCACTGCATGGGGGTAAAGACGGAGCCTGGGAGGCGATCAGTAGCTTCTCGTAGCCTGGTTTGGGAAAGGTTGTTCCTTATCGGACCGATGGAAGTGAATGCCTGGACGGCTGGCTCCAATGGTCTACCGAGATGTGCGGGGTGATTCCCGAGATTAACGATGGGCACACGAGCGACAAGTCGGGATGGGGTATTCTGGGCAAGAAGGTGAGGGTGACCCCCCACTGGAGTCTGGGTACCGCGCTCGCGATGGTTGAGTTGTGCTTGAGGTATAGGGTAAAACCCTGCTGATGGTAACAGCGGAGAGACCACTTTGGGAAAAGGCCGGTGAGGAGATGACCGGCCTGTGTGCGATGACTGTTTGGTTTTTCTTTTTGTACCTCTCTCTGTGAAGCTGCCTGATGAGTGTTGGAAGGGGAACTAAGTTTCTAGTCTATTCCCGACCCCTGCCTAAGTCTGCACGAGTGAGAGAACATGAGGAAGAGGCTGGATAGGAGTCAGAAGAAAGTGGAACCAAAAAAAAGGAATGCGAGCCACTGGTGATCGATTAGGGGTATGGTAGGGCAATCGCACCTGGGAAATGGATAAAAAAAGTTAGGGAGACCCGGATGAGGGGTTTGGAAACAACTCCCATCTAGAAAAGGAAAGGAAACCATCTGATCATGAGGGGCCGTGTGGTGCTCTCATGTGGAAACAGGACAAGCGCCGGGAAACAAGATGGCGCGATGGTTGTCGCCTCCTGTCTACTCTAGTGGTCCGGAAATGCCTATAGAGGTAAGGGATGGGGTAGCTGTTGTTCTCCCGGAAGGAGGGATGTCGACCGACCTAGGACCAGCCTACGAAACCATGATACTGGACGAGAAGGACGCGTTCCTCTGGATAGAGACAATCTGGACTAAGGTCAGCCCGACGAGACTTTCACCTAGCTTGATGGACCTAGAATTCCGAGGAACAGTTGAAGCTCGAGGATGGCTCTACCTATCACAGGAATTGGAAAATGCAATGGTAGTGGGACTAGTATTGGGCACGGCACCGGATCAACTGTTTAGGCAAGCGGAACGGGAGGTGGTATGGGCAGCATGTCAGCGGGCAAAAATGGAGATGGAAAGGATGGAGGTGCGAGTGGAACTCGGGGACCGGAAAAATATGAGACGTCCTCTTAGGACAATGAGGTGCGTGCTACCCCCGTTTCTGGTGGATGCAGTCTTTGGGACCAGGGATAGACTGGAACGTACATGCCAATCGATGACACACTTGAGGTTGTGCCAATGTGCTAGACAAGACTTCTTTAGATTGTCGGTGGAAGATCGTTTGAAGGAAACTGGGCGGAAGAATTTGCTGAGGTGTTAAACCTCCTCAGCGCGGACGAAGTCTTTGTTCCTAGTCCGGTGCATTGGCAGATAGTTTACCGAAACGTGGCGGCGGGGGAGACCTTCTTGGAAGGGGTGAAAGAGATGTTCTTAGACGAGGAGGAGGATTCCAGTGATGAGGAGGACGGGGAGAGATAGAGGACTGGGACTTCTGAGGGGGGGGCTTACCCGGGAAAAACGGGTTGTCAACTATGTGCAGGTAGGGAGCGATGGCCCGGGAACTCGAGCTATGGGACTGCACATGGGAACCAAGACGAATCGGAAGGGGAGTAGAGATGTCAATACCGCCGAGCAATGAATGGAAGGGGACCACATGTGATTGGCGGGGTTAGGAGATTGTGCCGGAGTTATCGTACCTATGGATAGAGCGTCTGGAACCCGTTGAGGTAAGAGGAAGGATGGGAAGAGATTCCGGAAGGAAGGGTGGAATCAGTCGGGACGATCGTTCTCTCTGAACAAGGTTGGCAGCAGAACCCGATGTGGCTTTTAGGGGACGCTGAGGCAAGGGCTCGGCAGGCCGGGGAAAGGTTTGCTAACAAAGGTTGGGATACGGTCAGCAGTAGAGTCGTGATGGGAGGATTGAAGGAATTTAAACCGCCTGGCACCCGAACCAAGATCTGGGTGCCCGAGTTCGTGGCGGACTGGTTTGAGGGTTTTGATCACGTAATAGAGGTAACCAACACGATGGAACGAATACACGTGAACTGCGCATGGCTGGCAAAGGAATTCTATAGTACGTCCTTGAAATTCAGGCCCTTCCACGACGATAGAGCCCGGGAGGTTCTTATAATTTTGGATATTGAAAGGAATGACCGACAGGAGGTGGCCCCGGAAACTAGGGAGGCCATAATCTGCCGTGAGGTGGCAGCAACACCCTGTTATGTGGACGATGTGTTCAAACTGTTCGAGGTACTGTGGTTCGACTAAGCGCAGGAAAGCCGTGGGGCCAGACAAATATGGGAAAAATTGCTAAGATAAGGGACTGGGATGTCTGACCATTGTAGGGTTCAGTGTGGATCGCGAGCCAAGAGATCAAAGGCGAGTGCGCGATGGCGCGAAGAAGGACGTTCCTTGAGGAACGCCCCTTGGGCATTGAACCGCCTAGGGAAGTACCGGGTGGGATAGAGGTTACCTTGCCGGCGGCGAGTGGAGGCTGGCACCCGGTGGCGGATTGGGTCGGAGTCGAACTTGTGGAGAACATGGTTTACTTGGTGACGAAAGTTGAGTGGCATGCGGACGAGAATGGGGAGTGGAACCCGGACCCGCGGGGGCATGTGCGTGCAGAAGGACGGTTGTATGTGTCGAAAAATGGGTGGAGGGAATTCGGAGTCCGGCTGGCATCTGGAGAAGACCCGTTGAGCATGTTTGAAGGGGCGTGGCAGTTAGTGTGGCGAGCGGGATTTGAGTTCGCAAATCCGGGGGTTGACGATGTAACAGCGGACCTTAGGGTAGCCATGGTCGGGAGTTTTGACTTGCCTAGTGAAAATGTACGAATGAGGCTGCCGCCCTCCCTGCCGGAAAGGCTGGGCGGTCTGGGACTTGTTAGACAAGCGGTAGCCGACCTCGCAAGCCTGACATATGAAGATGCAATGGTACATCGAGAATACTATCGGGCCTTCCTAGAAATGGGCCCGTTCAGTGGAGAGCAGAAGTATGAGGTGTTGCGCATCTTGCGTGCTGTGTTTAGCACCAGGCCGAGGGCTCCGGTCGTGGGAAGTGACGTCCTGTGGGGTGTCGTCCGACGGGAAATAAGTCAAGGGATGGTGTACGTGGATGATCTGTACCGATTGTATGAGCCGATGGACGTAGGGACGGGCCAATAAAAGAGGTCAAGGAAAGAAAAGGAAGGTTCAAACTAGAGACCCGGGAGTGTTCGGGCGGGAGCTGAAGATTAAATGAAATAAGTAAAACCGCTTGTTGTTTAAACTGTGCAGGGGACTACTAAGTCAAAAATGGCGATGAGACGCGCCCGGATGTTGCGACGGTCCACACACCCGCTGCCACCCACGGAAGGTGGAGGCGGATGAGAGGTATTGCTCCCAGCAAGCTACATGATCCAAGTACTGGACATCGAATGGAGGGCCGTGACCCTAGGACGAGGTCAGGTGTTCATGATGGTGGAATGTTTGTGGGATGGTACGAGGATTAACAGGGGACCGGGAGACGATCTGTACACCGATCTTAGGGTGACGGGGACCGTATACCTGCCGGAACTTGGATGGTACATGCTAGGAACGGAATTGGCACTAGGTCACGGGTTGCTACCAATCTTCATGAGGGGTACCAGGATGTTGAACAGGGTGGGCCAGAAAGTGTAGGGGAGAAGAAACGTGGGATTAAGAACTCGGGTGGAGGTTGGAGGCTGGCGAGAATTTAAGGCCCCAATGACCGGGTTGAGGTGTCGAGTACCTCGTTTCATGGTGGACTTGGTATTCGGTAGCCTCAAGAGAGCTAAGGACCTGGTGGATTCGACCCTGGTTTGGATCCACCACTTCCGTCCACAAACGACGGGAATGTTTTACGACGTGTCGGTCAAGCATGGGCCGTTCTGGGGAAATCAGGCCTGGGAGTTGCTTGACCTCATTGAAATCCTGATATTCGAATTGCCTCGCTTAGCATTTGAGGAATTTGAGCCGATAATCGTCAGGGAAATAGAGATGGGAGAAAACTACCTTGCGGGGGTGGCTGACCTATTCGAAGAACCGGACGAGCAAGGCAGGCCTGAGGGACCAGCATGAGAAAACGCGTCGGGAAAAAATAGGGAAATAAGGGACGGGTACTAAGATAAGAAGGCAGCTATCACCAAAAAAGGGGGGGGGACAGTGGTTGGAGTTTCATCCGACCCGATAGCGCGGCAAGGAGGAACTAGGAAGACCACCTGCACCAGAAAACTCTGGGGCATTTGGAGGTCGAAAAGCCAAAAGGGTCATCCTCGATAAGGAGGCCACTGGGCTCAAACACCGCCCTAAGAGCCAAAGCGCGACAGTAATAAAATGCCAAGCAGCGGCGGCAAGTCCCCCGGCGGGAGAAAACCTGAAGGACGCCCTGGGAAAGAAAAGTCAGGAGAGTCGGACCGATTAATATAAGACGCAAAAAAACATGAGAATAGGCGGGTTTTAGGGTCGGGACTAGGGCAGTTATGAACAACCGGCCATTTTTTCGCAATTTTTTTTTTTCCATGTGCAGGCTAGGTAAAGAAATGGCGATTGAGGAAGGGATCGATGACCAGCAGAGCGGAGGGAATCGGGGCACGAATGGGGATGGGGAACGAAACGAGGGATCAGCGAGGGATCAAGAGTCAGCCAAACTGGAAGGAACCCAAGAAGACGGAAAGGACCTCTCAACTGGAGAAAGCTCGGGGAAAGCTGGGGGAGCAAAAGGGGACCTCAGGAAAACAGGGAAGGGGGAAATGATATGAGAACAAGCGCTCGGAACTCAGCAGGAGCCACCCCTAAAAAGACAAAAGTCTCGGATGCCAGTCGTAAATTGGCAGAGATAGAAAAGCGGACTGCAGAATTTAAGGCAAGGCTTATCGAGCAGATGATGGCCGAGGATGAGGAGGACCCCCAGGGCGCAGGGTCATGTGAGGGACGTAGGATTGGTCAGGACGAGGCCAGGTATGAGGAGAAGGATAATAGCCACAAAGAAACGCCTAGTAAGAAGGGGAAGGACAAGAATGACCCCCCGGCGAAGGGGACGGAAAACACTATGACCCCGCCTGCCATCGACAGCGGCACTAGCCGACTGCCAGCCACGCCGAAAGTAACAGGGGCGTGCGACGGACTCTGGAGCCTTAGGGAAATGGTGCTAGGATGGTTTGACCCAGAAGGAACGCCGAAAACCAAGGAGAAGCAGAGGGAAAGCAAGGAAGGGGAAGGGACCAGTGCAGCTGGAGAAGCAGGTAGCTCCGAAGGTGGTCTCAAGAGGATAGTCACCACCCTTACCCAGACACTAAACAAGAATCAGGGATATCTCGCAGATGCAAAGAAGAAACTCACGTTCGATGGGGCAAACATTACGGAATTTCTGATAGACTATGAGAACCTAGCAGCCTTACTAAAATGGACGGAAGAGGAAAAGATGGAGCACCTAGGGCAGCACGTGTCGCTAAGCTTGGAAAGAGACATTATGGTCATCGTCGCGTCCAGTGGATCCTGGAAAGAAACCAGGAACGAGATGATGAGGAAATACCTGAAGGCAGAGAAAATGGCAACAGAGGCCGAATTAGCAGCAGTCCAGAGAAAAAACTATGCGACTTACAACGATTTCCTAAGGGCGTTTACGTTAGTGGCGCTGCGAATTCCCGGGGTAACGGACCGCATAATGAGTAAATACTTCCTCAGGCAGTTCTCCGAGTTTGATAAGGATAAGATTCTGTCAGCATACCAGCAGACCAGCAAGTTTGAATACACAAGGGATGTGGATTTCAGTACGGTAACAGATCTTGCAGAGAAGACAGTGGTAACTTAGACCCTAGCCCTGCTTAAGGAAGGGGAGGTTATAGACCTGACCGGGAAAACGGGGGATAAGGTCAAAAAGGGAATAGAGAGCCTGCATGAAAGGGTGCACGGGGTTGACAGCAAGATGAACAGAATGGAAAATGCGCTATTAGTAATGCAGGCACAGGTGTCCCGACCCGCCCTCCCGCCCCAAGAAGCCGTAATACCGGCAACAGTAGCCAATCGAGGTTTCCCCAGAAGGGACCCGGCCAATGAACAATGCAAATATTGTACAATGGTCGGGCATTTCGTAAGGACCTGCCCGAGACTTAACCACGACATCATTAGACAAAGGTGCAGTAAAGTGAGATTCTTGGACTTCAGGGAGAGCGCGTAAACTGGAATTTGCCAGGAGGAATGCGGCGTGCCGTCATTCTCCTAAATAACTTGGATATAACTGCCGTAGAAGCAGAGTCGGTAGCTGAGCTTGTCTGGGACCAACCAAGGGGGCGCGGACCCCAGGTCAACTTCATCCTGGAAAGTAATGGGCAGGATAGGGTAAACATTACTACCCGACGGGCTGGCGCGGAAAAGAAGCTCATCCGAGACACAGTAATGGAAGAAGTCGCGGGGGCTAGAGCAGATCAGGAGGAAGATGAGGCCGGGGAACAGGAGAAGGTTTATGGAAAAACGAGGGAAGAGGAACTGGTAGATAAAGCCACGGCGGCAAAGAAGAAGTTCAGGTACCAGATCCCGATTCTGACACTGCCCGAATTAGATGACACTCTGAGCAAACTTATGGGCACCATGGTGTCGGTATTCTTCCAGACCATGCTGCAGGCAAGCCCGAGACTACTCAAAGGTCTCAGGCAGCTATTGACGTGTAAACGTGTAAAAGTAGAGGAGACTCCGGAACCACAGGAACAAGGACCCGAGGAGGCCAAGGCGCCACAAGGAGTCTCTAACCTCCAAAGCATTCCAGGGGGCCTGGAAGACTTGGAAAAAGTCTTCGCCGATATTCGTTTGAATCTGCCGGACCGAGAAGGTGGCGAAGTAATGAGAACACTGCCCGACACTAAACTTAGCTTCCACGCACTGCCTGTAGGAGAACTTAAAGTCCAGGTCGGAACTCACCACACCGATGCATTAGTGGATGGCGGCGCAGAAATTACCCTCATACGACGGGATTTCGCAACGATCACGGGGTGCACAGTGAACAAGGAGGTAGCAGGGAGTATCAGGGGAGCGGGCGGAAAAATTCCCTTCACTGGGTATGTCACCAAATGCGCGGTCAGGGCAAGAATTCGGGAATCCATCTGGTCTTTCCAACGGATGACCGTCATGGAAGAAATGAACCATGACATAATCCTTAGGAGACCCTGGTGCGCCAGTGTAGAAATGATTGGCATGCACCTGCATGATGGCACGTATATGGTAGACATAGAGGATCAGGTGACTGGTCGCGGAGAACTCCTCCGACTCCTCGGAACTGGAGGGGTCGCCGACGTTTGAAGAAAGTGCACGGAAAGGCGCATTCGCACGGATGGAAGGCATGAGGGAAAGGGTAAAAATTATGATTGAGGAGGCGTTTAGCAAAAAGGAATGGATCAAAATGGGTCTGCCTTTAAAGAAAAGGAGACAGGAGGACGAGGTCCTAGGAGTCGTGCTCGCAGAAAAGGAGTCAGAGATTGAACTTGGGGCCAGCCTGCCCAAGCCAAAGGAGGGACGGAAGGAAACGACAGAAGTAATACTCGAAATCCCTGACTTGTTGTAGCTCATGAAAGCTATTAGATACCATAAAGTTGGGGTAGATCCGACAGCACTTGCAAGATTTGAAGAAGAAATCCAGAAAGGCTACTGCCTCAATGGGAAGGTTGTCAGTCTTCAACCCCGTGCCATGGAGGTGGCAAGGCCAATCCCGACCGTTCATTTTTTAGGAGAACGATCCCAGAAGGGAGTGTGCGAAAATACAAACCCGTAGGGAAGAAGGCCAAACCGGTCTCGATCCAAGTAGAAACATCAAGGGAAGAGGCCATGGAAAAAGAAGAAGAGATCCTACGGATTATAAGGGAGAGGTGGGCAACGGAAGGGCATCCTATACCGGATGAGGTAGCAGATACCATGAAAATAGGAGTGGAAGGGTTTCTAACAGCAGAGGAAACTCAGTTGATAAGGAAGACGTGTCAGGAGTTCCATCTAGCTTTCGCTTTCAATGATCACCAGAAAGGGCGGTTGGACGCAAAGCTAGTTCCTCCAGTTAGGATCCACACGGTAGAGCATGAATGTTGGAATGATAAAGGGTCTGCCTACGAGTTTGGGATAGCAGTGGAAGTCACTGACCTGCTTAGGGCCAAGATAGATTCATTCGTGGCTGAGCCCACCGCATCCCCTTATGCGAACAAGTGGTTCGTTTTCCGGAAGCCCAACAAGAAGCTCAAGTGGATCCAGGACTTGCAGAAGCTCAATGCGGTAACAATTAGGGATGCAGGCTCGCTCCCACAGACAGACTTGCTTGCCGAATCTCACGTCGGGCGGAGCATTTACTCCCTGATAGACCTGCACTCAGGTTACGACCAGTTGCCACTCGATGCGAGGGATAGACCGTATACCGCAATGCACACCCCCGTAGGGCAGTTGCAGATGCAAGTGACCCCTATGGGCTTCACAAATGCGGTAGCAGAGGCGCAAAGGAGGATGCTCGCCGTCGCAGGGGATATGTTTCCGGAAAAGTGTGAACCCTATATAGATGATAATTCCGTAAAAGGCGCAAGGTACAAGGACGAGGCGGAGGTCCAACCGGGCGTACGGAAGTTTGCTTGGGACCACTTGCAAGATATTTAGGACTTGCTCCAGCGATTCCTAGTTTACAATATTACTGCAAGTGGACCCAAGAGCATCCTGGCCGTCCCGGAAGTAACCATACTAGGGTTTCGTTGTGGGGCCTATGGAAGGAAACCTGACCCAGCAAAGACTGATAAGATCTCCCAATGGCTAACACCCCTGCGCACCACGACGGAAGTACGAACCTTCCTAGGGTGGTCGGATTCTGGAGGATCTTCATCAAAGGATTTGCCAAGATAGTTGAACCAATCCGCGCAATTATCAGGGAAGGGGGTACTATGGAGTGGACCGAGGATAGGGAAGCGGCAGCACAGACCCTCAAAGATATCTTGTCCTCCGATCAGGTTATCTTAGCAGCACCCTGCTTTAATGACGAAGTAGGACGGCCCTTCATCCTAGAGACAGATGGCAGCCCAATGGCCGTAGGGGGCGTATTGATACAGAAAAGCGAGGAAGGCAAGGAAAGACCAATCAGATTTGAAAGTAGGACCCTAAATTCGGCGGAACGGCGGTACTCACAGTTCAAGAAGGAGGTCTTAGCGATCCTGCATTGCCTTAAGACCTTCCAGGCATACCTGTTTGGAAGGCGATTTATCCTAAGGATCGATCCCACCAACGTCGCCGGGGCTCTAAAGAATTACAAGCCTATAGATCCGACCGTCGGCAGATGGATAGGCTTCATATGACAATTCGACTATAAGGTCGAGCGAATTGCGGGGCTTTGAAACAGGGCAGATGGGCTGAGCAGAGTATGTATCATGCCAGAGGGAGTAGAGGATGGGGAACCAATTGACGCCTTCCTAGAATACAAAGGGGGGACCCTTGTTCTGGATAACGAAATTGCAGACTTGGCGCTTACAACAGGTCAGTTACTAATTCAGACCTTGGAAAAGGGCACGCCTGCAGTAGTCGCAGAACTCAGGGAAGGATCAGTCGCCACAGTCAGACGCAAAGAGGAAAATGACTCGTGGGGAGCAGAAGTAGGGGCCAGAGAGGAACTGATGGCAATGGTCGTGGAAGGGGGACGGGGCGCCGTGATGACGTTGGCCGAAACCTGGGCGTAGAAGGAATGCCAGTACCTAGTCAACCAGACCCGGGAAGAGCAGGATACGGATCGGAAGGAACAAGAGTTCTTCCTCATACAGATGTATGAGGGCGACTTTAGAGAAATTGGTTTGCTGCTTGTAGGGAACAAACAGCCCACGGAAGTCGTCTCCAAGGCAAGGGAGGAAGCTGAGAAGTACGTCTTAAGAAATGGTCACCTGTTTAAGAAAGAGGAAGGTATGATGCCTAGGCGTGTCGTTTGTGGGAGGTCTACGCAGCTGGACGTAATTCAAGCAATGCATGATGGGCTAGCTGGAGGTCACCGGTCGTCAAAGGGGACACTTACAAAGATCGTGCCCCTGTATTTCTGGCCAGGAATGGCAGGCATGGTCGCAACGTACTATCAGACGTCTCTAATATGTCAAGAGAGGAGCTCTGTACGGGTGTACGAGCCCCTTAGACCCACTCGGGTACTGGGACCAGGGGACCTTGTTCACCTCGATCTCGCAGTCATGCCCGTGTCGACGGATGGGTATAGATACATCCTGGATGCAAGGGATAACCTCAGTGGCTACATAGAGGCCGTAGCCCTCAAAAGGAAGACAGGGAAATAAGTGGTTGATTGGGTAGAAGACTTCTACCTAAGACACCCTTTTGTGCGCAGGTTCATAACAGACAATGGGACAGAGTTTGTTAACCAGGAAGTGTTGAGCAGGCTTAAGGTCTTGTGCGTACCTATTAAGATCAAGGAACCATACCACCCTGAGGCAAATGCACCAGTAGAAAGGGGTCATCGGACACTGAAGAACACAATCGCGAAGATGGCAGCGGACGACTTGGGAAATTGGTCGCGGTATCTTAGGCAGACAGTCTTCTCTAATAATGTGACACCAAAGAGAACGACGGGGTGTATTCCGGCAGAACTCTGGTATAGAAGGGAGATTGATTTCCCGGTAGAAGCTCTCGTTCCTACTTGGAACAGGCTAGATGACCATCCGCACTTGTCTACAGAAGAGTTAATCGCCGCACGTTGCCAGCAGGTCGCCAGAAATGAGGAGGCACTGGAGGAAGTAGTTAACCGCGTGATGGATAGCCGGATGAGGGACAAAGCAAGATGGGACCAGGTGAAGAATATTCGAAAGGAGCCGCTCCAGGTGGGGGAAAAGGTGCTAGTCAGGAACTTGGCACTAGAAAGCACATGGTCTGGGCAGCTGGGAAAGAGATTCAAAGGTCCTTACAGGATCGCGAAGCGGGTGGGATTGAACACGTTTGAATTGGAGGATCTCGATGGTACTAGCATAAGGGGACCATTCACGGGACAAAGGCTGGTCAGATTCTTCAGCAGGGACCCTGTGGAACAATGGCTACAAGAGGCTCATGATGGGGAAACAGGGGAATCAGCAGCATGAAAAACAGACAACTGGTTATGATTCTAGACCATCCTCCTGAGGAAGTGATTATGACCATAGGGGTTGCTCGTTTTGTGTGTCTTATTCTCTGAGGGAACATGGGATGACTGCCTGGGCTGAGTGTGAGGATAAAACTCTGGGACAATGTACCATAGTTTGGTGGGGCAATTTTGGGGGACTGCCTACATGAGGTGCCTGCAAGAGGAACAATGTGCCTAAGGAATGATGGGACCACCAACTACGTGGGGGCAACTAAGGGTCTTGGGAAGCCCTGCAATCTGCAAATGGGGATGGGAGGGTGCGTGTGTATGAGGGGTGTGGTGACTGTTATGTATGAACAGGGCCAGGCAAGAAAAAGAAGGCAGCAAGAAAACAACAAGATGGAGTTTGGAAATGAGAATGACAGAAGTGCAATTAATAGGCCGGAAGAGGGACAGTCGTCAAGACAAGCTGGAGAGCCTAGCTCCAAGAAAAGGAAACTGTATGTGGGGTTTTATCACAACCTGGTGGTGAATAGAGGGGGCAGAAAAAAAGGGACCAAAGGACCGTCACCACTGAAGGAAGGGGAACCAATAGAGCTGCCTTCAGACAGTGATCCTAGTAGTAAGGAAGAGGGGAACCCGGAAAAAAGGCAAAGGCTGGAGGAGGGGAACCCAGAGGAGGGACAACGGCCGGGAGAGAATGAGCCCGTTGAGTTCATTGACCTCACCAGCGAAGAGGAAAAAGATGAGGTAACGACGCCCACTAGGGAAGAACGGGAAAGAGAGGAGGAACCGGGTCAGGAAAAGAACAAATGGATAGAAGAGTTCGGGCCTACCTTCAGCGACTAGTTTGATCAATGGGGCACTATTTTGCGGTTTTAGTGGATAACGAAGGCAAGGGCAAAAATGGGCAGGGGAGAGGATCTATCCCCAACAACCTTTTTCACAGAGCAGACACTCCTTCAATTGCAAAGAATAAAGAGGCAAATGCAGCAGGAAATGGAGGACCGTGCAAGAAAGGAGGCTCGACGTAGGCCACTCGGACATTAAAAGAATAGCAGGCACAATGGGGGTTAGTTTGAGATCGGGGAAGGGTTGGTACCCGGGCAGCAAGAACTGCCATCTTTCTTTTGCGCATTTGAACTTCTTTCTAAATGAACTATGAGGAGACAGCTGCTAAGCTCGAAGCGGCTAAGGACTGGGTAACAAATGCTACTTCATATAAGTCGTTGCTTCTTCGGGAATCGGCACGAGAGTTTTTTTGCACTTAGAATAGAACTGTGGATGGTTGGGGTGGCTAAGGGAAAGAAAGGGGAAAACAGAGGGACTTAGATGAGACGAGTCTGTAATGTGACCTTTGCATTCGAACTCTGTCTCCTTGTTTTTTCAGAACCGCGATGAAACTACTTTTTGGATTAAGGAAACTGGTAAGGGGTTGGGAGGCTTGTGTTACTTTGTATGAGTATTCGTTTCTTTGGGGAAATGTGAATTTTTTTTTGGGTAGTAAGAAAAGGGGATCAGGGATGATTGACTCTGAGAGTGGGCAAGAGCATGAGAACTATTGGGATTGAAAAAAACAGTTGATGGCGAAAGCTCTCCTTTATTTTTGAACCATGTATCCATGATTGAGTGAGTCGTTGCATAAAGTCCTTGTGAGAGGTTAGGGGACCTATGGGTAAAGAGATATCCTCTTCCCTATAAGCCTAATCCAACCTACCCTAGACAAGTCCAGAGCTTTCAAAAGATATGAGACGTCGGAAAAGTGGTAGGGGCATTTAAATGATCCAGTATTTTCTGTAATGGTTGAACGGTCGGGCGGGCTAGTGCTGCTTGAGGTCGCTATCCTCAAATTGAGCATTAGATGCTAAGTCGGATGTATGGATGGACATGAGAGTGATAAATGATAAGAGAACGAGGAAGAATCATGCATAAAAACCCAAAAGGATGACCATCTTCTAACCCCCGATACAAGAATAGGATCCGTGTCCTCGAGGCCCACCCCCTCGGGCGCTAACATTGCGATGGATAAGGGGTCGCCCTAACCAGGTTGTCAAATTGGAATGGACAATGGTGCCCCTAACCAGGCTGTCCCGTTGCAATGGATAAGAATGGCCCTAACCAGGCCATTCGACTTGGAAATGGAAAGAACGACCCTAACCAGGATGTTCGGAATGACCCCTGACAAGGGTCATTCTTTGGAATTGGCACTGGGATCCCCTTGCATGGCTGCTTCAAATGCATGATATTGGAAAGAGCTGAGCCTTGAAAGAGATATTGGAAAGAGCTGAGCTTTGGAAGAGATATTGGAAAGAGCTGAGCTTTGAAAAAAATATATTGAACTTAGCCTTGGAAAGGATTTTCGACTCAGCCTTGGAAGAGATATTGCATTGAGCATTGGAATTGGACTGAGTATTGGAATGTAATTGAGCATGGAAGTGAGACTGAGCATGGACATTGGATTGAGTACTGGAAATTGCACTGCATAAACAGGGGACCCTAGGCAACTTGAAATGGACTTGGAAAGAGCACTGAAATGGAATTTCTCTTTTCTTCTAGTCTTTGGCCTCAGCAAGAGGGGGATACCGGTGCATGCACCGCGAACCCAAGACCTCTATCCCTTTGAGGGAAAAAGTCTCAGCGCGACCTGTTCCTCTTCGAGAGGATGAGGGTTAAAGGACTAAGGCACCTACCACTTGGATCGGTGCGGGACGTACGCAACCACCCCCGACAATGAGCTCTAGTCGGGGAGTTCAAACTGCGCCTCCTGTTGAACGCCTAAACGTCGAAGGGCGAGAGAGCCAAATGGGCGAGAGAGCCATTCTTATCTAAGTCTATTCTGCTACTCCCCAACCACACGCCATGTCATAGAGGGGTGCCATGGTCGTTTGGGTCGGACCACGGCTGCCCGCACTAAGTTCGGCGGCACTGTCCAAAGGGAGAGGCTGGGCGAGGTACCGGGTGGAGTCCGCCACCATCACGGGGCATTGACACTGCCCTGTCGGAACATTACAACCGTTTCGGGACTAATTGCGAGGTCTTCGTAACTGCACTCGCGGACTAATCGAGAGCCCCAACTCTCTTGAAAGGAAGAGGCCGGAATCCAGAAAACCACCACTCGGGAGGAACGATTCGCGAGGAACACTCTTACGGCTAGACGAGGCCCTGGCAGGCTTGGATTGGACCTACCTGACAGACGCGGGGAGGAACCTCAGTATTGGTGCTCGCCACGTGAGAGAATAAAGGTCGAACCGAGTAGAAGGATGAGGCGTCGTTCGCTGGAGAGGAACTGATCACTCCTCCTTTGTGAAGCGGATGGGCTTGTGTCCTTGACTTGCGGTTGGCGGGCCAAAGGTCTGCGTACCTTCGAGTGAGAACCAGTCGCGCGATGGGGACATCACGTTTTGAGTGGGGGGAAGGTGCGCCATCTACCAATAAATACGCATGGAAAAAGACCTGTAATTGGTTTTGCATGGGCCTGAGAAAAGGGGTCTGGCAAGACGCCCAGAAAAGCGAAAGACTTGTAATTGGTTTGCATGGGCCTGAGAAAGGGGGGGCCTGACAAGAGGCCGGGACAGTAGGGACTTGAGCAAGTGACATGGCATGAACTTGAGAAAAAAGGCCTGGCTGGACGACCAGGAAGGAAAGGGTTAGTATGATTGATTCTGAATGGACTGGTAAGCGGAGGTATGGCTGTGTGACTGGCCTGCATGAGCTTGAAAAGAAGAGTCTGGCAAGGCACCTGGGAAAGGAATGTTCAAAGGGAAGAACTGAGCAGCGCACATGAAAATCAAGACAAGGGAAAAAGGCAAGGATTGGCAAAAGGGTGATATGCATGYGGAACTGGCARKATCTGAGAAAAGYCGGGAAGAATGAACCAGGAAGAATGCATGTGGATTTGGCCATGCCTGAGCTTTGGGGAGAGGAAAACTTGTACTGGAAAGGTGTGGATGTCCTAAGAGTAATGAATGAGACGAAACCAGGTTGGTGTCTGCTCGATAATGTTTTCTCAATGAAATGGGAAGATAGATTTGAGATTACGAATGCAGCCTTCAAGACATTGTCAAGAGCGAGAAATAACGTACAATGAAAGACTAGTGCAAGACATGTCTGTAGACGGACCTCCCCAAAGGGCAATGCTAGACAACTTGATGAGGAAAGAAAGAAAGAAAGAGACACCGAGCTGCTTTAACCCTTGACGTATTGCTAGCTCGCACCTGAAGGAAGCCATGGCGGATGATCCTTGTGATATTCGCCGCCAAAAATCTTCCTCTTACCTCGGTCCCTAGGGAGGGTGATGGGCTTATCGTCCTCTTTTTTGTGGGACGATACCGGAGGTTGTTGGGAAGCTCTTGGGTATTTGGGAGTTCCAGTGAGAAAGAGATACAGCTGTGAGACGGACGTTGATGCACAAAGAGTGTTACGCGCTCGTTACAAAGACATTATTGAGCTTGGAAACGTTACACAATCCAAAGGAAACCCAAAACAAAACCTTGACCCTTCCATACCCTCCCCCGCCCCAAGGGGCGAAAACTTAAAGAAGGACCCGAGAAAAGAGTGGGAAAGACAAAAAATAACCCTGGCAAGCTAACTACTCATCCCACCCCACTCCTCTTCCCTGTCTGTCTATCACTCCAAAATTCCTACTGACCATGGATTGGTGCACGATGAGGACATCGCGAATGAGTGGGGGAAATACGTCAGGACTGGTGAGTCCCCAATGATTTCCCGTCACTCGAGAGAATGTATATGACCAATTTGTGCACGGTAGAGAAAACCGGAGGCAGGAATGCTGGAAAGATCGGAAGCGTGGGCACAGACAGTAGGAAGCTAGAGGCTGCCCAGAGTCGTCAGGACCGCCAAACTAGAGAGGGACTGTCTAAGCAGGAAGCGGCAAAGGACCGTGAGAGAATAGCAGGGGCGACTTTTTCCCCAAGGACGGGCAAGGGCCACCGGGAAGTCGGTAGTAGCATAGAAGGTGCGCAGCAAGGGAAGGAAGGAAGTAGGAAGGGATAGGACGCAAGGCGCTGACGTGACATAGCGGTAAGAGGGCCAAGGAAGCCGCCGGTTGGATGGGAGCCGGCACCCGGAACGGAACAGCGTGCGGGACGCAAGAGGAACGGGGAGCTGAGATCGCCGTAAGGCGGAAGGACGTCAGGAGCACCAAGG